AGGCCCTAGCTCTGTACCACAAGCTAAACGATAGCGATCGGCAAGTCGTCCTAGAATGGCGTTCATACCTCGACAGTGAAAAATTAATGCAATGAGGTGAGAACGCCGAGAACGGCGTGAGGACTCCTTAAAACAATAGTCATGCGAATGGGGACGTGTAGGTGTGACCACAGGCACTCGAGGCCAGGATATTATTTAATAACTTAATACTTTAATACACGTATTTTAATGACCGTGGACCTCGGATTTGTCAACCGGCACATAAACTTGAATTCTGCTGATATTTCGTTTAAATAACGTCAGTCATGAGTGCTAAAACAAAAATCAATGTTTAAAAAATAATATCCTGGCCTCGAGTGCCTGTGGGTGTGACAGGCCCTTTACGGACCACGGGATGTCGACATGGGTTTTGTCAAAGAACAACATTGCTTCACTTCACATTTTGATAAGACAATCACGTCAAGACTGTCCCAATAATTGTACTTGTCATTCTACCAATACACCAGCTTTTTACGGACTGGTTTCTTCGTCACGGTATCCAAAGTTATGAAGATCAATATGAAACCTGTGATTTCTTAACGGTCGATTAACATGTATTGCAGTACAGTAAGGGTTTTAAAATATAACATCCCTCAGAAAATGCCATTTCTGACCGGTAGTTTCCTGCCTTACTAGCACGTGATTTTGGGCAATGTCGATCCCGATAGTTCAAACTCTGATGTATTTTCACGACATAATTTCGTATAATTCAAACAGGTGCAACAATATTTAATTAATTTTGTTGAAATATAATTATAGAATATTTATCGAATACAACATGTTTTCTTCATTAAAAGAAAATAAATAGTATCATAAACAAGATTTGTTTCCCCTCGACCAAAGATGCTATTGTACAGTAAATATTGATAGAGAAATAAAATGACGGTATCCACGCTAATGAAAAGCAGGAATCTTTAATTATTTCTAGATATACTCTGCATTTTGACCTTTAGTTTGTCCTCTGACCTCAAACAAGGAGGAAAATGAACCCTTTCATTTAATATTATCTAATATAACCCAAGTACATTTGTTGAAACTGAAACTAACACATTTTGAAATAGGTTGAAATGAAAACCTTATCTTTTTCAAAACGTTTGTTTTTCATGTGTGTATTATAAAAGGAACACGTTGATCGGATATGAGACGTAAAGAGATGTTTTCTGAAATTATGGTGCTGGTACCTCTAGTTTGACCTGATTCGAGGGGAAACGGGGAAGTTTATTGTCATGCAATCAGTTTCTGTTTAGAGATGTGTTCCGAAATCTATTTAAACCTGATCTGAGGGGAAATTAGTGTCAAGATGACTTATTGCAATCGTACATCGTCCGCCGTTCGCCGCACGTAAATATTTCTTTTAAAATACTACTCCCGCTTAACGCATAGGCGTATTCAACAAACTTTGGTCTGAAATATCACTGGAGGTCGCGGATCATTTCTCAAATTCAAACATTTGATTCGACCCGTAGGGACTTTGGGTTCTGGCCCCAAAAAGGAAGTTAAATAATACTTCGCTTCAAAACACACCTTAATGATTGGATTTATTTCATTCATACTTTGTCTGTAATATCAGTAGGGGTTGGCAAATAATTTTTAAATTCACAAATTTGATTCGACCCCTTGGGACTTAGGGTTGTGCCCCTATATGGATTAGACAATAAGTTTTACTTCAAAACGCTACTCCTTCTTAATGCCTGGGTAGATTTCAGCCAAAATTTGTGTGAAACATTGTTGTAGGTGGGTTGTCATTTCTTAAAATCAGACAGTTGATTCGACCCCGAGGGACCTGGGGCGGGCGGGTGCCCTAATGGGAAAGTTAGTCAATACTTTGTTTCAAAATGCTACTTTTTCTTAATCATTGAATGGTTTTCATCCAAATTTGGTCTGAAACATCATTGGAAGTGTGAAATCATTTCTTAAATTAAGGAAGTTGATTCGACCTCTAGAGACTTCAACAGGAGGCTTCGGAAGGAGGAATTAGACTATATTTTGTTTTAAATGCTACATTTCATTAATGCTTCAATGGATTTCACTCAAATTTTATATATAACATCAGCAGGGATTAGCAAATGATTCTTCAGTTCAGAACATTTATTTGATCCCTAGGGACTTGGGGACGAGACCCAAAATGGGACGTCAAAAACGCTACTTCTTATTAATGCCTTGTTAGATTTTAACCAAATTTGGCTTGAAACATTATTAGGGTGTGGCAAGGATATCAAACATGCATGAAGTGATCCTGAGATTGTCCTCACCAAATCTTGTTTTTACGCTTTGGTCCAAAATCCAATATAACTCGTCTAGAACAAATAGTCTGAACTTCTCGTGTTTCATTCACACCAATGAGAAAAAAATGGAGTTTGATTTCTTTAAAGAAAAGAAAGAGATGATTTGTTGTTACTTTTCAATCTGATCAAAACTTCAACATGGTAAACACAGGAGTTATTTTGTAACATGGGTGTGCAACTGTTTTTCATGAACAGAACCTACCATTTATGAGTTTCTGACACTTTAAAGGAATGTTTAAAAATTGAATTCATCATATTTGTCAGACCACCATCAGTGAATTCTGTGCTTTGTCTATCCATCTGTCAATTGTCAGATGACTGTTAAGGGTCATGGCCCTCTTGTTTTGTCATGAAATCAGTCTATGTTAACGAGGACGACATTACAAGTACATGCATATTAATTACAACCATTTTCAGCCGGTATATTGTATATTTGATTTGTGTCGATAGTTGATCGCGGTAGGTCGCATTGAAACTGCCTGTTTTAATTGGAATGTAAAAGTGACAAATTAATACAATAAGGATTAGAAAAATATTGATTTCTTTTCTTTTTTTTTCTAACCATTTTACGTCACAAGACTTACGTCACTAGGGTCATATAAGCAACGTCGTGTTGTCGAGTATTAGATATATATTTTCATCAGGAGAACAATTTTAAACAATCATAGATAATTCTGTGTAATCTTTGCTTGAAAAGTTGTTGGTACATGTATATTACATAAAACAGGGTTTTAAGTCATCTTGGTTCTAGATATATTTATGAATTTCATTATGAAGCCAGAATAAGTTTGGCGAGTTTGTGATGTCATTTTTACTGTCATTAGCGACGTTACAATAGATCAGACAGTCTATTTATATACCTGGTTAATACACGTACGATCGGATGAAGCGCGTGCGCATAGTAATTGCTTTGATTGAAATACTGAAATGTCATCACTTCAGGTTTTAGGTTCAAAATGGCAAAAATACAATGATTCAGATTTGTTTTATTTCTGTCACCTCTTTTTTGTTAATCGACAAAAAATACAATGATTCATTCTTTCATCTATATTTTTTATATAATTTTCGAAAACGCCAGGACAATATCTTAATCTCTTTCCAAACACGCAATGAATTTTGATATTGGAATATTTGATTTCACAAACAACGGAACAAGACATGATTGTTTCTGACTCTTCTGCTAATGAATCCTCAAGGCCGATAATAAAATTTTGTGTCAGATTTGTCGTAAAGTCATTGGCTTGTGTAATATCAAAAATATAAAAATGGGAACTAAAACTGTCGTTTGTTGTGATTTATAGTCTATGGAGTCGATACAGGATAGCAGAAAATTATCATAACGCGTGTTATTCTATTTGTCCTCAATTCTGCCCGACTTCTAGCGCCATAAATATGATAAATAATGTTTAATGCTTAACTATGGAAAGCAATTAGATGATACATGTAGACCATGAACTGACGCTGCACCTAGTTGTAGTATTCTTGTTTGCACACTGAGGTGACTAGCACTTGTAGATCAATTATGAAATAAACAAAATACCATAATCAATACTGACAAAAACGAATACGCACCAAACATTCTGTCTTCTCGCAATGTAGAGTTATCTGCTCTCGTGAGCAGGTATTGATTGTCACGTTATTTGTTTATGAGAGTAACGTCATGTTTAACCGACGTAATCTTATCACGCAATCCAATGACGTAACAACAACTTAATGACGTAAAATTAAATACCTGCCAACAAGCGCACTAAACACTGCATTGTGAAAAGGAGGAATGTGCACTGTGCATTATACAATGTGTATATCATTTTCAAACTGATTGACGTATGACGATCAGGTAATCAAAATGTTCAAAGGCTAGAGTTCAGAAGTTATTATTTTATTAATCTTAATCGAAAAATTTTACATTTGAACTCATTTTAAATGTTTCACAAAACTGTGACCTACTTCCGTTACGACCTGACTTCCATAAGTCATTAAGAACTTGAAAAAATCAACATATTTCTTTTAAAAAGTTGCGATTACATTCAGGCAATTTGTTTGTCACCACAAATGTTTTATGACAACAATTATAACAAGTATGAGATATGGTTACTACAATGTCATAAATATCATCAAGAGAACCTGCTGGTTGTATAACTTCATTTTAGGGCCGGCTTTTCGAAAGCCTATTGGTATCACGGGTTAGTAATGTATTTCTAAGTGTCAAATAAAATTTTGCACTGTTTATTCCTGTATTAACAATCTGATTTCTACTTTAACAACGTTTAAATGCTATCTCGATTTGACCTAGATTTTACACCATCGCGAAAAAGGAAACAATCATTGCTACTCGTTTGCCTGGTCCCCTTAAGAATCCTAGGCTTGATTATTTTTAGACTTCCGTTTTCCTTACACGATGGTAAATTCTTGTTGTTTTACAAGCTTTCACATTGTAACATTTACGTTAAGCTACTAATACAATATACAAGGTACATAGCATGAATGTGACTACCAGATAAAATACATTTTTCACATAGAAAAGGCAAATGGAATCAGATTATCAAAATCACATAAAAACCAATTAAAACTTCATTGATAATCCGAGTATGCTAGAAAAGATGAAGTGTTGCCTAATTTGCACAAAATATGAAAAAAAAACTCATGATCAACTTTTGTAGCAGTCCATTGAAGAACCTATAACATATTTATTGTGTTTTGCACAAGAATCAGGTTCTCTGGTAAAGACGTCATGCTTTCTTTCCTACTAAATTTGGCAAGTTGCAGTTCTTCATTGGAATCATTAGTAATAGAATGTGTAATTCTGGAATGCTGACTGTTTGCGTTTTTGAAGACATATGACATGCCCATTTTCATGTCTTTACTAACTTTCCCTCTGTACTTTGGATGTATTAATGCATACAATATAGGATTCACTGCGGTGGCAATTTTCGCACAAAGACCGATAACGGAAACCGCTAAAGGTGTAACAAGCTGTAAATCGCCACCGAAACTCCCGATCATAGCAAATACTGCGTAAGGCAGCCATGAGAAACAAAACACCAAAATTATTCCGAAGGCTATTTTTGCTGTCTTAAATTCGCGCTTTTGTTTGCGTCTCTCTCTGGATATATTTGGAAAATATAGTTTAGAGTTGTGCGTCATTGTAAGTTGGTCAATCTCCCGTTCATGCAAGGCCACTTTTAGAAATATACTGATATAACACACAAATATGATCACAAGAGGAATGAAAAAACATCCGGTCATGAGCGAAATCGAGAATGAGCGGTATCGGGTCTGTTGAGAGATAAAGTCAAAAGTACATGATGCTTGAGAACCCTCCAAGATATATCGACCCCATCCAAGTAACGGGGCTATTGACCAGAAGGCAGAATAAAGCCAGGAAAATACCACGAAAAGCAGCACTGTTCTCACTGATGTTTTCTTGTACCAAGGTAATTGATGTACAATAACGATGCTCCTTTCAATGGCAATCAGGGTCAGAGTTGTGATAGAAGCTAGGCTGGCCAGACTTCCAATGAATCCATATAACTGGCAACCTGAAACAGATGGAGAACATGGATACAGATTTTTCTGGGAGAACAATAATGCTATTAATCAACTCCAGCTTGAAGAAGAATGCTAACGTGATTATCACTCGGCTTTGTTATACAGTGTATTATAACCGTATCAATATCGAACATGTATATTGATATTAAGTGAATGCTGTGTATCTATTGTACTTATTTTTGCTCCATTTTCTTCCCTTTTTCTTACAGTAGATAAGAATAATCTAATTGACCATACATTGATAGATATAAACTATAATGTTAAGGGTTGTGAGTTGTATCAATTTATCATAAGCTAGGAATATTACAGCATCCCAGATTTAGACTTACAAAAAGGCTATGTTCTGCTGAGCAAAGACTTTTGACTTGTGCATTTGGTTCATTGATATTCCATGAAAAAGTCCACAGAGGAAGCTTCTAGGATTAAATTTCATCGACGATGCTGACCAATAGAGAATCCAAATTAAAGAAAAGTTCAAATCACATGGAAGAACTAATAATAAAAGTTAGAGCTTCTTAAAATGCTTCTCTGCAGCGGTGAAGGTAGCTGTTTGTGGTACAAATCACTAAGACAAATTGCTAAGAATTTCATCCTATGGAGACTCTGTTTTAACCCATGGATATATATTTATTATCATTAACGCTGTTTACGTGATGATTTCAACATGACGTTACACAGCATAATACAATTTGAGTGTGTACTAATTTGAGAATCGGCTTGTCCGTTTTAATCATAACGTAATAGTAATGATAATAATCTTTATTTTCACTGAATTTTAAAAAACTCAAAAATGGTCAAGCAGATATCAAATGTACAGCCCACAATTATTAAAAGTCATATAAATATCAAAATATCGCAATAATTTACTTTCAATTAAAGGCTGGCTCAGTTTAGCTTATCCTTTTAAAGACAATATGACCCGAGATTTACAGCGATTGGGGAGAGCACTACTTGTTTGGTCTACTTTGGCCTTAACTACAGAAAAATAATAAATGCTTCATATGATACAGTTTAAAAATGTTATCTCATAAAATAGTGTTTGAAACATTCTTCAAAAGATGAAGGATTGTTAAAATTTTAAACACAAGATTGTAAGCTATTCCAAATACAGGAGCCGTGATATGTAAAGGATTTTGAATATATATGTTATATATATATGTATGCTTTGCAAGATGGCAAATGAAATGCATTCTGTTAGATGAACTAATTAGTCTTGACTGAATATCAGATAATAGGGTAACATTGTTCAAGCATTTGGGAATGTGACATTTTTACATTAGAATGGGATGGTTGTAAGAAACTAGGTTATTAAGCGACAACTACTTTAGTTACTGAACATTCACTTGAAGGAGTGCAAAAGTCACATTTCGATATGATTCTTGCCGCTCTTTGTGTTACTAGGAGGCATTCCGTCGAACAGTAGGCAAAACGGGGATTTATATAACACTTTAATTATGTAAGACAAGATGATTGTGTAAGAAAGGGTCGAAAGGATCATTTGGGAAATCTTACATGAATTGTTTTTGGCAATGTCAGCAGAGTGTTTATCCCAGGATAATCATTCATCAATAGTGACTCCAAGAGTTTGTCTTGTTTTACATTATCTATTTATATGTTCTGTTTGCTGTCTGCTTTTTCTCTGTGGTGTTCCAATTAGCATGCCTTTGGGTTTTGTCTGTATTGATTTACATTTGTTTTTCGTTACACAATGTCTGAATTCATCTTGTTTCTTCATTTAATGTAGCATCGATACTGTCAATGATTTATGGGAAGTATTGTCATCGGCACACATGGGAACTGCTGTGGTTTTAGTTAGCACAGGAACGCATTGTAGGGCCTGAGGGCTGCTATGAGTATTTTGAAAATTTACCGTTTGAAAACAGTCTTTAATATAACAGAAATTAATTGTTTCTTTAGAACAGTCATATAGGCCTAATTTGGTAAGTAACATATCCTGGTTAACATGGTCAAAACCTTCTAGATGGAGAGGCGCACTACTCCAGTAATTGAAGGTATTCTTCTTGCATGGATATAGATTTGATTATTTTCATATATCTGGTACTTTAAGAAGAAAAAGCGCCAATCACAAGTATATGAAATAAAGCATGGAATGCAGGTTACGGCAAATCTCGGGTACTACGAAATCAAAGATTTTGAAGATTGTACAAAAACATCTTTTAATACAACCCAAGAGCAGAGTTTCTAGATTTAACACTTGCTACAATTTAAAACTAAAGCAAACAGCATTTTCACATTTTCATGTGTATTTAGAGGGTCAAAACACAAGTCTTATCGAATGGTTAGACACGTTTTTCTACTGGGAAGCATCTTGCTGTTTCTGCGATCAGATAAGACATATACTTATATGTTTGCGTTCTTGACAATTATTAAAGCACGAGTTGTCATATTTACTTATTTGATTTTAACGCTCTCATGTAGAGGCGATAGTAACAATGAATGCTTTCAGACAAGGAAAGGATTGTACAAAGAAACAACAGATGTATTAGACATTTGTAACCCGATTTTATAGCTTGGTACATTATGAAGTCAAATAATGAATAAATCCACGACCAATCAGACCTTTATTTGCTTTTACAGATGGCAATTCTTGCTGCTGGTGGATGTTTGCTGTGTTATGTAGATCACGTTTTAATTCATTCAAATAGTAGCACGATTCAGTATAAACTAATGTAATTTATAATAATGTATTTCTAATTAACTGCCTTTGAAATCATTCAATGTTGAAAATTATGAAATGGACGTTGTACTCCTCCCTATCTGGGTTTTGAAAATTATTTTTCGATTTTCTGAAATGGCCTCGTAGGATTCAATGATAAGGGTCCTTATCATCACTAAAAAGTCATGGAAGTACAAAACAGTTGTGTGATGCACTTTAATTCCTTATTCAAACGTAATGCATGCCAGATCAATCTAACTCATCCACTTTTCAAAATATTAATTGAGAAATTAACACAGAGTTTTACAATTAAAGTTGCCTTCAATAATAGGTACTTACGATACAAGTTAAACATAATCTAATAAGTCTGGTAGAAAACGGCATGTTTAAGGATCAAAAATTAGAAAAGCAAATGTGCAAGGCTCATGTGGTAAATTATCACGATATATTTGTGTTCTGTGTACATAGACAAATTTATCTTGGTATGACAAAATACTCTATGGAAGAAAAGATATTAATATAAATGTTAAAAGCCAAACAAGAGTATTTCAGTCGAAGTATAATGAAAACTGTTATCACTATAAATGTATTTGGGACGGTTATACAAAAAAAGGGGGATTCAAAAGCAACAATAAATATCAGTTTTGGAAATTTATTTAATACATTTCCTTTACTCAATTGGAAATAAAACCAATTGATTCTCAGGATGTGGATAAGATACATTACAAAATTCATTTTGAAAATGTGCGTGGGAAGGTTCTGTGATAATCTTAAATGTCAGAACGACGACGTTTAGGAAATGTGATTGTGTCAGACTATGTACGTTTATCACTCTACTAATACCTCACGATATTGATATAAATCTTGTGTTACGTGTACCTATGTTGCTGAACACCCATCTCATATTAAAGCTAGCCACGGCAAATGCTGGCAAATTTCCAATCGCCATCATCAGGTCCGCAATCGATAGGTTAAGCACCAAGAAATTGGAGGAGTTACGTAAACTTCGAAATCTGTTTAAAAAAAAGCAAATACGTTAAATCTCAAAGTCAATGTAATTATTAACAAACACGATTGGATATAAACACATATTTTCTTAACCGAATGATTAGTTGGGACCGAATCAATGCAGTAAACAAACAAGATTCACGAAACAGAGATAAATTATTGAAAACACAATTGTAATACTGTACTTATTGGACAATGGCACATAAGTGATCAGCGGGGACTCTATACAATACATCATTCAATGGAGATTCATAACGTGGTTAATGTGGAGCATCTTTTAATTTAACAGAGATTCACATAATACATTGTATAGTAAAGAATTAATACTGTGATTAATGGGAATTTACACAATACAGTGGAGATTTAATACATAGGGAAAAGGGTACTCGAAAAATCCGGGAATCAGCGCAGATGCACACACTATAACTTGCCTTGGTGTATGTCATTCAAACAACAGAACAGAGGGTTCAAGAAAACATATATTACAACGATAAACGCTCAATTTACAACAATGTGAAGTGGTGAACTCAAACAACAACGTAGTAAGAGAAATATAAAACAACACCATAATTAATGAGGGTTAAAAGAAAACAGTTTATATACAAAACAAAAGATAAATGTGTTACGTTTATTCATTCAGCACGTGTAAAAAGGAGAATCAAGCCAAGTCATATATAAACATTTCTAAGCACCAACATTAAATTCAGACTCGAAGTAATAAATTGCATATTAATCAAAAGGACTAAAAAATAAATAACAATCATAACGATAATTTAATTATAGTGAATTAGTTAATGAGCACATTGTATAAGCATGAGCATGATGTGTAGTCAAAGTCAATTGGTAAAGGCTCAATCAGTCGGGGCCGCTCTTAAATAGCAATATATGTTGTTAAGATGTTACACAACATAAAACAAAATCCAACAACCTTTAAAAAGCTATCAGAAAGAAAATACTATTGGGAAATTTAGAAAAGAATATAGACGGACTACAACATAGAATGTAACGGAAACTCCAATTACATATTAATGAATTTGCATTCAATCGGATAATCGGAGACTCTGTTAAGAAATTGACTTTGTAAATCCTAGAAGCACTACCCAGAAAGCAGTAGTGACCTATATGATATCACACGTTGACTCCTTAAAAAGTACAAGGAGAATAAGACTAAGTGTTCCCAAAGAGTAAGCGTCTTCCGTTTCATCGACGACACCCACCAAGTAAACATTAGTCAATCCAAGTAAATAATGTCACATTCTGATATGAGAACAAGGTATACAAAGATGGAACCAACATCATTTTCATCAGCCTGCATCTTTCGAACCCCTGTGTTCTTGCAAGAAAATCGTGATAATGGGAACAGGCCCTCAAACGAACTTTGACATGTAAATACCATAGGTTGGAGATGCAGTATTACTGCTATCCAGAAATGGAACCTACAACTTACATCTATTATATGAGAATTTCACCACAATGAGGACTGCAAAACGAGGTTATCAACAAGTTTCAAACATGGGCAGACTATGAAGAACGCACAGGCGTCTGTGCCAATTAGATGAACGATTCCACAATCTCTCAAAGATCTATTTTGTCCATTTGCCTTCAAAATGTCGTCACTATTTCGTCTAATAGATCTTAAAGCTACAGAAACATCGTAGTGTCGGGTTCCCTCAGAAAGCAACGTTACAGTAGATAAAGATTCATGATAAAAAAATCTAGACAATGAATTAAACTGCATCAAACAGCTGCTTCTTCCTTCTAGGACTGGTACGTGATACTTGATTTTGATTAATTAATAATCTGTCACTTGCTACTCATTAGTCGGTGTGTAGCAATTAGAACATATTATCCGCCTTATCATGGACTTGCGTTTGGAAAGTGACGGACTTACTGCAGAATGGATTTTAAATGACTCTAAGTGGCGTATTTAGCTGTCCAATGCACCGAGGATTATCTTCGCCTTTCATCATATATGAATGTGTAAGGTATGTTTGGCCCATCAGAAGACGAGCAAGGACAATTTCGTCTCGGTGGTTGTCTCTGTAACATGGAGACCATTCACCGATAATAGGTTTTACGGAATTTATTATCGGTATATTGATTCCATTCCTCCTGCCATTGAGCTGTAAGAAATTGTTTGATAAATGGTTAACAATGAGCAAAATGAGGTTTAAAAACAACAGGTGGTAGCGATAAAACTGCTTTTGCGGCACGATCTGTTTTTTCCTTGTCTGGTATTCCAATGTGATCAGGAACCCAGCAAAAACAATACGAAAGTTTAAGGTAAGTTCATGATATAGTATTAATGTATTTTGAATGGAAATATTTTCGATATTTCCATTGTTTAGGCTTTATAGTACAGAAAGAGAGCTTGAATAGATTACAACTCTCATGACTTTATTTGAATATGCTCAAGGGCTAGGTAGATAGCTCTCGCTTCCGACGAGAATATTGAGGCGTTGTTCGGTAACCGACATACATACGCTTCATCTTGTATAACCGTGGCCGCGGATACCTTTTTGTTATCTTTTGAAACATCAGTTTATAGATGTATTTTTTCATATTTTAACTGCAATTTCGAGAAGCATGAATGCAATGTGCAACTGTCAGTGTCTAATTTATCCATTCCATGAAGTGAAAAGTCAACTTCATATGAATTGAAGATCCGGTGTGGAATTCTATCGTTCCAAATGACTGAATTTGGTCAATATCAATATCAATATTTGTGTTTTGTTTTAAGAGCGGAAATACACATTCTCACCGCGCATATATATGTCGGTCGTCCTTAAATATTCATACCTGTTGCTAGCATATTTTGTCATGTAAAATGAAAAAAATGTTGTTCTATTCAGATAATAGATAATTATATAATTTTTCAAAATAGTTTTTTTTTCGTCTGTTTCAAAACTTTAAGATCTGTTGTTGTTAATTAAGATTGTTCAAATTTTACGAAGGATGTGCCATATTGTAATGGGATGATGTGAACGATGGAAGATATAAGGACTCCATATTGGTATCATTCCCTTAAAACGAATGTCGAGACCTTGTGACTCGTGTCGGAGCATCGCAACAAATGCCCGAGATGAGATATAGAAATACGTAACATAACGCTAATCATTACCAGCATACAAGTGGTTTCATTCCTTGAGATATTTTAATCGAACTTCTCACACTTATAAGGGCTATTATATCTCTGAAGGACAGGCATTAAAACATTAAAAGTAAATGTAAACTGCGGTTGAAAGTAAATGTAAACCGTGACCCTTGCAGTTTTAGAAATAAGAATACATTTGATCACGACGGCATGGGGGGGGGGGTGGGGGGGCGGGGGGGGCGTTAGATGCATTAACGAATAAAACAACGACTTACATGTTATCGAAGACGTAGTTCCAACTCACAATCGTTAAAACTAAAAGTTACAGGAAGGTTATTGAAAACTACAAGGAGGGTGTCTTCTGCTTGATCGACGACACTCGTCAATCCTAGTAAATAAAGTCGCATTCCGGGATGAAACCAAGGATCACAACAACGAAAGGCAAAATGGGATTACAGTGGCGACCATACCACTCCTCAATAAGTTTGAGCAACTTACATCACTCGAAACCATATATTTCAAATTTCTCTGTTAGCTTTTGTTAACTTTTCGAAAATCATCATGTAGTAGCATGCGCTTGAGTTTCGGATCATCTGCAATATATAAACGCATCAAATGCAAGGATGTCACTACCTCGTAATAGAACATCCACACCAGCGATATCGAAATCAAAACCTACACACGCCCAAGACCTATGCAGTTCTAAAATGTTCTCAACTGTTATAAGTCGCCTTATTAAAAATGCTGGAAAGCTAAGGTCATTGAATTTATTTTTTATATTTCTTAGTGAAGATTTCAAGTTATGAAATAGTTTCAAGGAACGTTTTGATTATAATGTTTCCTTTCATAAATCAATGTCTCCCGAACAAAATTAAGTTGTTTGTTTTATCACAACTCATTCTCAGTATTTCATTGTTTCAGTTTCATCCGGATACACATAACTATCAGTAACCAAAAGTGTTTTGATATTGTAAAGAAAATAATTAAGTTTTAACGTAAACGAGGGCAATATTGTTTCAGTCATTCATTGTTGTTGCTCATTTTACTTGCCCTAGAAGTCTTCTTAATCAAATGGAGCAATACTAAATCGACAACTTTGACAGTAATGTCCTCAACGGGGTTCCAAACAGTAACAGCATGGGATATTCAATCATTTGGCTAATTCGGGACCACGTGCTCCAAAATAGTTTAACAAAATAAGTGTTTTAAGTGTTCCTGACAAAAGGCATAAATTTAAGCAATGAATTGTACAAAATGCACAAAGCACATCCCAAAAACATGTATCAGGTACAGTGTAAAATAACGAATTGTTTTAAAATTACCTATATCGTATATGCCAAAGTCATATAACCTTTTGAGCGCAGTTAATATACCCACAAACTGGAACTCGGTCATTATGACATTGACCAACTTCCTCCCATGTTTGACTGACCTTAAAATTACGAGTTCGGAAGTACTAATGCTAATACAATTACATGTATTATGCGACATTCGGCCAGAGGACCTATAACTGGACTGATATGAAATCGATTAAAAACACCATAACACTCTACAGTACATGAATGTTTCGATTTTCTTCTCTCTCTCTCCTCTTTTCATCTTTTCCTACAATCGCATAGATTTCCGTCACTAATTTGACAACTAACTACACATATCCAGAATTTGATGAGGATTTTGATGTTATGTAATTCCGCTGGTGTTCTGTGTATGCATCATCGATTAAACCTAATACCTGATCATGCTGATAGCTGCTAATGTAAGTGTCCGCACAACCTATGATCATTAGTGGTCTTGTAAACTCTACTAAACTTGTAAACTACATTGTGTTTGTAAGCTTTATTAAAACTTAAATTCATAAACGTAATAATAAATACTTCTTTAATTAAAAACGTTGGAAGGAAAATCTTTTACAAAGTCGCCAAACGCGATTAAAATTTCATGTACATATGTTAATGACAGTATAATGCAGTTCGAGTAAAATGAATGGCAAATAAACTGTCTTGTTTACATCAGTTGATGCAACACAGAGTTGGTTCACTTTATACAATGTGCTTATTTCTAGTTCCAGAAAGAAAGCAATGTTTTCTAACAAACCTCAGAGACAGATTTATGAGCCCAAATAAGAGATTTTTTAACTGTAATTGGAATATATGAAACAGGAAACTATTTGAACTATTCACAAAATTATCAAATGTACAGAAGACAAAGAACCGAATATCAACTTTTATTACAAATTCAGAGTACTACAAACAACAGAGCAAAACAATGAATTTAACGGCAACATACAACTGTTTTTCATTTTCAGGACTCATCAGTGGTGCTACATGTAAGAGCCTAACACCAGTGAGGAAATTGAAAAATCAAATTCATCAAAATAAATGTCAAAATATAGGATGTACACAAGCCCCATAATTGCATAACTTTTTGATTTCATGAATCTGATAATTTGAAAATAACGGTAAGTACATGTATACATTAGTAGTGTATACATTGAACCATGATGCTATTTGAATACTCCCAGAGTAATGTTTGAAAAGCGGTCTCCTCTAAAATTTCGTTCTCGGGGGATTGGAGGGGGTGCTTATATATGAAATCCTCGAAGAAAATGGAATGTGGTTTCTATTAAATAGCACCTATCACATTAAATTTAAACTGAAATCTAAAGTGAGCTAAAGTGACCGATAATCACAAAACAAAAAGAAATTTTAAAGTGATGAAGTTGTGGAGTTCAAGCATATTTGACGTTTACAAACTTTATATTATACTATAAATATGTTTGCAAACCTCATGGGTTTAAATAAACCTTAAATGAAGAGCCCAGCCAAGGGACAAAGCAGCCAGTAAGTAGATCTTCTCTTTCTTTATATATATCTGTATACGAATATTTTTAGAGTTTGAAAAGTACAATAACCAGCTAAGCTTTGGAGACTTAACTTTGCAATCTTTCTACATGACAGTTATCGTTACACTTTTCGAAAGAAAGAAGAAGAATACATTGTAAAAGTTGAGCTTTATAATTGGTTTATTTTTTTGGCATCATGTCCATCTAGGTCATAATGCATATTTATTATGACATAGTATACGTTTTCGGTGGTATGGAAGATGTTCTGGTGTATTAGTGTAAGATTTTATTAGGTTATGTATTCAAAAGTTCTTGCATTAAAAAAATAAAATATAGCACATGCCCATATATTTGGGAATGCGTCAAATTATTAAAACTATATTTAACTTAGTCTTAAGCGGGTTTCAATATTAGGAGTAAGTTCAATGATGCCTAAATGAGGTCATTAACCAACTAATACCCTTCAGACAAGATAATGAATTGGTTGTTAAAAATCCATTAGACGGCAAATAGATTAATATCTCATCCGTCTACTTTACTACCTTTAACATACAATTGCAATGGAGACTTCATTTTTAAAAGTATTCCTTTTATCTGACATCAGCAACTCGGTAAGCTATTTCCCTATATACATTATATTTCAGTGTACGTGGACCACGATAATGGTCATTCACACATTCGCTTGAAATAAGTACATGTTTTTGAAAGCATGCAAAATAATGTTTAAGTACAGAGACAACAATATTAGTGTTTTATGATACAAACAAAATAACGTATGAGGTGATGGTACATATGGTTGTTATTAAGTATTAGACAGAGCTTCTTTCATGTCATACGAAGTGATACTTTTTCTCGGTGTACGGGGATAGAAAGTCGGACTAATTGAGATGTTTTATTACACGACGTGATGTTGGAACATGAATTACGCTTTTGAGTAGAAAGAGCACCACTTAAAGCCACTAATTAAGGACGTGAGGCAGTGTGTAGGGCCGTTGTGTACACTTTATTCCTGGCATCAAAATGGCCAAAATAGAAAGGCCATAAATCTGTTGTACTCAATACATTTGTAATATTTTCTGCTCTTCATTGGTAACACCCTTTCAGTCTCCTTGTGCGTTCATGGCAACACCTTATATTGGCATCTGCGCTGAGAAAAGTGGGAAAATGAATGGGTTCTGAGCCCGACATGAGAATTTTCTTAAGAGAATCCTTGTCGCCTCTAAATAAGAGATGAAAAGACAGGGCAAGTCCGTCTTCATAAGGTTGCATCCGCGGAAGTGCCTTTATTTCATGGTAGCATATTTCATCTTGATGACCATTTATTTTTCCTCATCAAACTTGGATTTGGTTTTAAATTACTATTCATTTTATACAGGTAGATGCCACTCAAGTATAGCCATACCTATCAACTATACTTATTAAACATTCGGTAACACATAAACAGGTATCAACGCTTGGTATAATATCAGGACCAGACTATTAAGTTTGGTTATTTCAGGAATATACATATAAAGTTTACACATAACTGTCATCATAATATTACTAACGACAGACATTTGTAGTTCATTGATTATTGCATAAATACACCAAGATACCAAGTCTCTAGCATCTCTGTCAGTTTAATGTTGATGTATAAGCTTTGTGAGGCATTATATCTGGCTGGTTTATTCGCTGTGATAGGTATTATATCAAGGTAATTGTTTTCTTCACATTTTTCCCCATTAAAGATATGTGTCAGTTATTCCAATTTATTTCATCTAAAGAAGGCAATTACGAAAACTTGGAAATATCTGAGTTCCTTCATTGCCGACACTACTGTGGGGGCGAACGACTGATTGAAGTCATGACATTTCAAAACATGACTACTAACGAGTGAACATAGGTTACACCTATGTAATAATGAATTCTAACCATAGCTGGTGTGATGAACATAAAAAACCGATGTAATTCTTTTCGAAGAGGATGTGACAAACAAATTTAACTGCCAGGGAGAAGCATTTGTATTTTTACTGTCAATTTCTTTAATTCAATGTTTTGTATGGAACTAACGACTATTTCAAGACCGAAAATATCACGGAGAAAACCGGAGTTGAAATACAGCGGAATCGAGAATAAGGAACGAAAAACCATTTTTAAAATACCAACTTGTAAATGTTATCTTAATCTAAACTCGAATTCAATAAAATTATGGCAAACTATGAACAACAGAATGATTTACACGGAAATTCCTCAACAAATACAAGTAGAATTAGACCAGGTGTTACCGAAGTGAAGGTGTCTTCTGCTTCCATTGTTCTGCAACGTTGTACTGCTGTATACCTTGTTCTAATTTGACATTAATTACTCTTCGATAAACAAAACAAAAACTATTCATACGGGATTTAAAAGCATTAATATGTTGATTGGTTAAAGAAAATAATTTACAGTAGTTTAACAACAATTTGATATAAGCATATTTATCCTTTGAATAAGTATCCTGGATAGCAGTGTCAAATCGTGTGCGACCCCGTCTTACCTAAACACATCATGGGAACCATTCGGGAGATGGTAATGATTATCGCAAAAGGTGCTAAAACTGTACTACGTACCACTAGGTTTTCGCTTGTTCAAATCTATGTGATTATGTAAAATATACTGTGTTTTGAAATTTAGCATTTCGTGATTTTTTGACGTTCGCATAACTATTCAACTAATGTTCGAGTACAATTGTCGATAGGTGGTAAATAAATTAAAATTAGAATCATCACTCAGATACGATGTGTGGTTTCACATCATTTTAAACAGGCACGGGAAAGTGACAACTATATTTGTAAACAGTTCTATATCTATGTGAGTGAACCCATTGTTGTTACTTAAACATTCAGATTTTCCTGTTTCAAATATTGAATACCTATGAAATAAAGCTTGGTCCTGCAAAGCACCAGTTTATATGTCAGGAAGTTTCAGACACGTACCGGCTCTTTTCATGTAAATTTGGTATTATCGTTTTCATATGTACATTATTATCAAAAAATATCTGATGGTCCAATCTACCGTAGACATAGGGCATACGGGATTACTTAGTTTTTTGTCAATTTTGCTGGAAATTTTGATAGACAAAAAATACCTGATGGTCCAATCTACCGTAGATATAGGGCATACGGGATTACTTAGTTTTTTGTCAATTTTGCTGGAAATTTTGATAGACAAAAAATACCAGCTTCAAAGTAATACCTGTACATCATGAAGATATAACCCGACAGACCTGTTCAATTGCCTTTGCTATGTACACTTGTGTTACAGCACACTTATCTTATCTGCCACTTTCGGAACACCTCGGCCTCAAGGAATAAAAGAATAAAATTTTTGTTAGTTATCAATGAAATCATTCTTCCATCATCACTACAAAAGCCAGGAACTGATCCTGTCGCCCCTTCTATACATTGACAGACTGGCATCGTTCGCTACACCTTGCCAAATTAAATCCTTTTATCACAAAGGAAAAGTGCAAATGACGACAAACTGGCATGTACGTGTACATAATGAAACATATTTTTTTTCAATGGAAGCGTGT